CCTCGCTCTTGTGCAGCAGCGCCTGCAGATCCTCCTTGTGGGCCTGGGGCAGGGGTGGGAGGCTGTGAGAGGTGGCAGCAGGAGAGCAGCACTGGGATGCAGCACAGAGATGTGGTACTGGGCACCAACCTGTAGCTCTGCCTGCATGAGCCGGATCTCCTGGTTCTCTTTGGCCAGCTTGTCCAGGAGCTGGCTCATGGACTGCATGCTCTGAGGGCCCCCATCATCGGGCAGAGGGGGCTGCTGCTGCTGGGAGTCCTGGAGGACAGGAAGGTTGGGAGCCCTGGGGGTGTTGAGGACACCTGCCCTCACTCAGCCCTGCTCAAGACCCCTCCTTACATTGCTGTCTATGGACAGCAGTGACTCCTGCTCCCCAGCAGCCACGTCCCAGCTCCCCATACTCTCCACAGGGCCTGCAGAGAAGGATACGGGTCTGAATGTCCAGGCTGCTGTGAGATGTCCCCCTGCCCAGGCGGGCTGTAACCTCTACTCACCATCTGCCACGTCGTAGATACCACCTGGGGAGAGGAGGGGACAATGAGGGGACATCTGGACCTCACCCTGTCCCTTGGGCCTTGGCCACTGGGACCCCACTTACCAGTGATGATCAGCAGCCCCACAACAACCACGGCCAAGGCCCCCAGCAGGTAGGTGCTCATACTGAGCCCATCATCACCAGTGTCTGGTGTCCCCCGTTGAGGGTCAGGTGTGACAGTGGCAGGCTCAGGATGGGGTTTGTGGCCTGGCCGCCACCGCAGCCCCTCCATGTTGTCGTCACTGCTGGTGCAGGACATGTCCTCTGTTGTTGGCCCTAGAGGGAGATGGGGGAACCTCCAGAGGGTCTACACCTAAATACTGCCAGCAGAGATTCCCCCAGGCCAGCCCCCTGTGAGGCCTGACCTGCTGGGGGGGTGTCAGGGTGGGCTTGTGGCTCAGCCTCAGCCTTCAGCTCCTCCTGCTCATCGCCCTCCAACACGCTGGGCTCTGCAGAGCCATCCAGGGCAGGCTCTGCCCGTGCCTTGGAGTCCTCACATTGCTCTGGCTCCTGCAGACACAGGCACTGGGGTATCCCTGTGTGGGGAGCAGCCCAGCAGTTCCAGCTCACCCCCAGCCCCCCGGTCTGACTCACCCCCTGCTCGCTGCCCTCAGGGCACAAGCTCTGCCTGGGGACGGTGGTGGCACCATTGGCAGTCACAGCTGGGGAGACGCAGAGCAAGGTCATGAGACACCAGGAAGGTGACACCAGGCTCGCCCCATACCCCTCCCTGGTGGTTGCCTGCCTGTGACTGTGTCCTGGGTGCCTTCATCCTCCTCCTCCTCCTCTGGTTCCTCATCGTCAGAACCGTGGGAGGCTGAGTCCAGCTCTGGGCCCACCGTGTCAATGGGCAGACCCTGGGGGAGGGGGTGCATAGGGGGACACCTTTAGCCCTGACCTCCAAGTGCCCACTCTGCCTGCAGCCCCAGGTGGGCACTGTGGGTGTGCCCGGGGGTCTCCAGCTCTGGGGGGCTGCCCCCAAGGCATGGGGTCAGGATGTAGCCCTGGAGATCTCAAGCAGTGAGGGGGGTTGCAAGCCCTCACCTCACTGCCCGCCAGCACCCAGCTGCTCTCTGAATCTCGGGAATCCAATTTCTCCGCCATAGGGACAGTCCAGCGCTACCTGCAAAGGGACAGACGGGCGGACACACGGACAGTGGGACACAAGCCAGCTCCCAGGACCGGCTGGATGTGACTGGGAGAGACACAGTGCCGGTGCCAGCCCGTCCCTGCAGCCTGTAGCTGGGAAGTTTTCAGGGAGCCGTCCCGGTGCACCGGCTCTGGGCTGCTCCCCCCTGCCACCAGCTGCTGCCGCGGGGTATTTATANTCCCTCTGTCCCTCTGCCCCCTGCCCTCCCTGCCTCTGGTATCACGCACCCCGGCACCCCTCTGCCCCCGTTATCCAGCACCCCGGGCACCTCTCTGCCCCTCTGCCCCCACTTCCTCCTCACACCCTCCATTCTCCTCTGATGCTCCTTTTCCTCCTGCTCCTCCCAGCATCTGCATTTCCCCAGCACTCTTCCCCCCACAATCCCTACTCCTCTTCTGCACCCTGCTTTCTGCCAGCATCCATTTCCCCCAGTACCCTCTTTTCTCTCTGAGCACCCTTCCTCCTCAACATCCTTATGTCCCCCTCTGCACCCCACTTTTTCAACTGTTCCTCACTTCCTCCTGCACTCCCCTCTCCCTTTTCTAAATAAATTTCCCCCAGTGCCCCCAATACCTTTTCTTCTCCCCCAGGAACCCCCTTCCCCTCCAACACACCACATTCCTCTCTGCCTTGCCTTTTCATCAGCACTCCCTCTCCCCCAGCAGCCCTTCCTCCTCCCCTCCCACAGCACCTTCTTTGCCCACAGCACTTGAGTCCCCTCTGCTCTCCCCTTACATGCCCTATTCCTCCTCTGAACCCCCATTTCTCCAGCCCTCTTCTCTCAGCACCTCCCTTTCCCCCACCCCCATTTTCCCCACATCTACACAGCTCTGCCCAGCAGTGACTTTATTCAAGGTGGCAGTGCAGCGTCACACAGTGCATTTGGTTAGGGATGTGGCCCTACTTGGCCCTACAGGGTGTGGGCACCCCTAGACCCCATAAACAGCATGTGGGGAGCCCTTGTGTGGGAGTGCTGGCACACAAATGCCCCCCTGGCTCTACCCACGTGTGCCATGCTGCCTTGGGGCTCTCTGGCTCCACATGTTCCCGGAGGTGCTGCAAGAGAAGGGAAAATGTGATGGGCAGCAGTGGGAGGGAATCCCTGGGGACCCCTGGCACTGCCCACCCCAGCTCACCCACTGTAGTGCCGCAGCATGAACTCCTCAAAGCCGTCAGCCGCCTTCTTGTCACCCTGCTCCTGCCACGCCACATCCTCCAGCAGATCTTCCACATCATCCACAAAATCCACGAACCGCAGGCGGTCGTGGGCAAAGACACCGTCGGCCCTGAAGGCGCCATCGAGCTGCGGTGCCAACCTCCCAAATTGTCTCCCCAAGCCCAGCTGCCCCATGAAGCTCTCCAGCAGTTGCAGGAACTGCACCTTCTGCACCGGCTCCAGGGCAACCCCCAGCACTTCCCGGCCCTCCTTGTGGGCACAGTCAGTCACCCCAGAGCAGCCCTGGGGTGCCCGGTACCGCTTGAGCCAGGGCAGGTCGTGGGAATCACGCCGGGGGTGGCTGTGAGATGGCTTCCCCCAGGTTTTGCCTGGCTTGTGCTCACGGGGGGCTCGGGGCTCCTTCTTGTGGGGCTTGCCCTGCTCTCTCCTCTCCTGCTCATGGGGGGATCCCCTGGCACCATGCTGCTTGTGCCACTTGCTCTCCTTCTCCACCTTGGATGGCTTCTTCCAGGGTGTGGAGAAGGACCTGTCTGCCTCCAGCACCTGGGCCAGGTGCTGCTCCAGGGCGCTCAGCTCCTCCACGAGCCCCTTGAGATCCCCAGAGCCCCGCACACGGTCCAGGGTGTCCGCCAGCTCCTG